GGTTCAGCCTCAGCCCGTTCTCCTGCATCCATTCCAATACAGTCTCCAGGCAACGCCGAAGGGACAGAACGGCATCTCCTGCAGTTGGAAAAAAGGAGATATAGAGCTGTGTGTCATCCGCATATTGATGGCACTGTGCTCCACATCTCCTGATGACCCCCCCCCCAGTGGCCTCATATAGATGTTAAACAGCATTGGGGAGATGATCGACCCCTGTGGGACCCCGCAACTGAGGCTCCACGGGGCCGAGACATTCTCCCCAAGCTGTACTCTCTGGGGACGGTCCTCCAAGAAGGAACGGAGCCAGGCCAATGCCAAGCCACCTATTCCCAACTCAGAGAGCCTCCCCAAGACGATACCGTGGTCAATGGTATCAAAGGCCGCTGAGATATCGAGGAGGACCAGCAGAGACACTTTGCCCCTGTCAGCCTCCCTCAGTAGGTCATCACACAGGGCGACCAATGCCGTTTCTGTTCCATGGCGCGGCCTGAAGCCCAATTGGAACGGATCCAGGGCATCTGTATCATCCAGGAACGCCTGAAGCTGAACCAAGAAAAAAAGGGGGTTTATAAAAAATCAGTATAGTGTTTAGGAAGATACAGTGTTTAGGAAGTCGACAGTAAGATGATATGGAGACCTCATATTAGAAACAAATTCACAAAAGACAAAGCACTTCTTCACATGTCAATCATTTATGGCATTTATAAAAAATCAGTATAGTGTTTAGGAAGATACAGTGTTTAGGAAGTCGACAGTAAGATGATATGGAGACCTCATATTAGAAACAAATTCACAAAAGACAAAGCACTTCTTCACATGTCAATCATTTATGGCATTCAGTCTCGAGATGTGACAGCTGGTTTTCTATAGAGATTAAACCATTTGTCATACCTGCTTTGATTTCGATTCCTACATCGAGCAGGGGGCTGAATGGCCTTATGGGCCACTTCCAGCTCAGTGGAATGATTCTATGAAACAAATTCATTGGGAAGTCGACCAATGAAAACAAGCCAAATGGCTATATGCAGAGTCCAAGGTTCAGAGGTACTTTCCTCTCTCTGGCACCACAAAGTCAAATGTCCTGCTTTTGTGCTTCGCAGAAGTTCCCTAGTTGACCAGCAACCAAAACAGTCTGTTGGCCTGGATCAGAGATGGGGAATGTGTGCCCCGCCAGACGTTGCTGGATTAAAACTCCCGTCATCCTTCATCACTGGCCAGATTGGCCGGAACTGATGGGAAGTATGAAATAAATCACAACTGGAGAGTGACACCTCCTCCATATCTTGATTAGATACACTTGTTATCCATTATGACCTAACTTTGAGTATGTCCTTCAGATTCAGAGCAGGTCATAGACCTAATGGTTTCAACTTGATGGATAGGGGATTGAACCTCATTATAGAGCGAGCTGGTAATGAACTGCCATCAGAAAAGAAAATGTACAAAAATATGTGTGAATGAGAGAACAAGTTTCAAATTCTGCAAGTAGATGTGAAAACAGCTCAAGTAATGAGGCAAAGGTAACATAGATCCAATCTGACATGATGGAAAGTCCTACACTGAAGACAAGGTTAAATTCCCTGCTTAGCCATACTCGGTCATCATCCCTCAAGCTAACCTACCTTACAGGGTTGTTGTGAGGGGACCATGCATAGTGCCCACTGAGCAGTAGGATCGACATGCAATAAACAAAAGAGCAGAAGCAACTGATTGGATTTTAACAAATGGCTTGTCAGAATCAGTTTGTCACACTTGAGAAGTGTAGACGTTTCCACTCTACAATCTGTGTGTACTAAAAATAATTAAAGACTTAATTTTCAGGAAGAAAATAGTTCTTTTTCTTTTATCTTTTTATAGAAAATAAAAACTTTATTTTTTTCCAGTTCACAGGACAGTCCCCATTACACAGAACATGACGAGCAAGGAATCTATAGCCATTAATGTCCTCCAGTCACAACCATAAGCACAGCTGATCCTATTTCCGGACCCTGGCAAGACTATGGATTTGTAATTCTCAGCAATGCATTTTGCCCCCTTTGCAGCCTTTTGCTCTGTTCCTTGATGGGTCTCCCAATTATTCAAGACTGCAAGAAAAGTCCAAGACGAGGTTGCGGATGAAAACACAAGAAGGCCTTAAGAAAATATACACAGATACAGAGGCAGCCTTCAGTGTTGCATTACCACGAGAGGGTTGATGTTTCAAAGCTAACCAAAGCAGAAAGAAACAAACGAGTAGAAAAGAAAATAACATGAGCTGGGAATCACCCTTTCCCAGGTTTGCAGTGCTTTATGGACAACCGAGAGAAAGGCAGCCAGCAAAATTAGGTGATGCAAGAGACAGGAAAACCTTTATTAAAATTAATGCATAAAACCATCACCTGAAGGAATTAGGTAAAGTCAATTTCACATACATCAGAAACGGCACTGTATAAATATTGGTATCATGAGGCAAAGAGCTTCACATGAGGCCATGGAGTTTTTGAAATCTTGAAATGCTTGTTCTAAGTAAACAAAACTTGCCAGTTGCCTGGTGGCTCTGCATTTTTACCATCTATACTTGGCTCAGAGCCTTTTGGAAATTTGAACATACACCAGCAATCATTCTACTCAACTGCTGACATTTCCAAACCAGGACTTATGGTAGAAGTTAAGGCACGGAGTTGATTCCCAAAGCCAAGCACAACCTGCAGCATCTTGGGGTTCTCAGAACAGGTGGCTCTTCAGAAATAACCCAGCTGGGTAATGATCTCCCTGACTTTGCCAAGGAGTAAGAATGCATAAAAAGCATAACAGAACCGAGCCTTCTCTTCTGTTTCCAGAGCAGTGGTAGCATACCCTCTCTGCTGTTTTGGGAAAACTCTTCATCAAAAGACTCTGCTGCCTTCAGTGAATTTGCAGGCAAAGCTGACTGTCTAAATGTCAGCAATGTCTGTGGCTCCTTGTGTGAGAAAGAAGGCAGCAAGACTTGTTTTATGGTGCACATGTCTCTAGTCTGCATCTACAACTCTAGTATAAACTATAGCGCATGGCACTATTGCACTGCCTAGGCAGGTAAGAGGAAAAATCACTTGCCCCCATTACATAAACTAAAAAGCTTTATGGTTTAAAACAGAGGTGGACAACGATAACCCTCCAGACACCGTATGACTTCCAGACAGACCTGATGGGAGTTGGAGCCCAAGATCTGTAGGCTTCTAGCTGCCCACCACAGATTTAAATAATTTGCAGACAAAAGACCAGTCAAAAGGCCAGTTGGAAAGACAATGTATTATTAGGCATCAGATGGTACCAAATCTAATTGCAATCTTTCTTGAGAAACAGCAGGCTTCAGTTACAACAAAGAACCCATTTATCTGCAGTTGTCCAAGCATTGAAACAAAGGAACAGGGCAGAGTTGCTAGCTATGGTGAGCATCCTTTGAAAATTGGGAGCCTGTAACTTCTTATGCCCTGCACATTTTGTGTTTCCTGAGCAGAGGGCTTCCAACTTCCTCATTTTGCTAGAGTCAGAATCTGCTCCCGAGGCCCTAACTTGTTATCCTGGATTTGAAAATATGTTTCCTCCCACCCACTCCTGGCAACAAAATCTGCAAAGACAAACAGATATGGAGGATGCACAACTGGTGGTCATCTGGAACCTTGCTTGGGAAGTCAGGAGGTCATGGCAAGTACTAGTAAACGGAAAGCTGTTTCTCTGGTGTGGCTGTGTAACTGCTGTTGCGCTACAATGCAGCATTATGTTGCATCATCATGTCTTTCTTGCTGCTCGACTTGTGCAACAAGGTTGGTGGAAAGAGGGAGGAAATCAAGATGCATCTTTCTTGCTATTCCTCTTCCCTGTCTCTCATAATCTCAAATGACCCATATCAAAACATCCTGCTGTGACAGTGCTGGGGGTGCCAGCCACATGGAGACCTAGGTATTGATGAAGGAACGACTTTTATCAAAACCTACATTACAGCCATTCTCTCTTGCTGTCCAACATGAAGGGAACCGCTGCATATGCTCAGTGGCCCATCATCACAGCACAATGAAAGATTCTGCAACCTGTGAAAATTGGCAGCCAGCTTTTGGATTTAGAAAATGGTGAAATGCTTCTAGACCCTTTCCTGTAAAAAAACAACAATAAATTCACTTCCTTTTACCTTCAAAAGCTGGAGAGGCCTGGAAGTGACAAAAATAGTCTACAAAAAAATGTACACCTTTCTTTTAAGCATAATACCACAAAGGGCTGCACTTTGAGAGAGGCCTTTGCTGCTGCTGCTGCTGGAGAGCATTCCTTCACTTTGGGCTGGCTCTGCTGAGTCCCAGAAAACGTCCTCTTCCAAAAATGCCCACAGAAAATGCTAGAACCACCTGAACGACTGGACTGATGTGTCAAGGTTCTTTGGCAGCTCTCCTGGGGAAAGCAATGGTATGGCACCTCCTGCTGTACGCCTCCATTCACTACATTTTTTTCCCTGTCTGGATGAAAAAGAAAGTTCCCCAGCAGGCTCCTGTTGAAGCTATGAGGTGCTGAACTGCCTGCTGCTGCTCACTTCCTCAGAGAAAGTCCAGCTCCAGCGCCTGGTGGAGAGACACCAGATCGGCATGATTCGTGATTCTCCAAAAGGGCATATTGTGCTGCAAAACAGAGAAGTAATTATTAGTAATTTTACGCCTTTCCTAGAGGTCACTCATGGATCCCCAAAAAGATGACAGAAGGGGCCACTGGTGTACATAAAATTGCATAGGTTAATTTATACATACAGAAGCAAAATTTAAAATACTTTATATCATTTAAAGAGACTAGGACTCAGGAGGCATGGGTTCAAATCCCTGCTCAACCATGGAAACTCATTGGGAGTGTGGAACCATTCCTTAAATATCTTTCTTACTTTGAAAGCCCCATTAGGGTCACTATAAGTCAGTTCCAACTTTTGATGGCACATAAGGACAACTATACATTTCACCCAAGTGGGGTAGCCTACAAGCCAGTGATATGTCTGCCTAATGAAGCTGCTGCTCACAGCGCAGGGGCAGTGTCAGAATCCCTGATCCCCCTGCTTTTGGTTCTTCGTTAAGAAATCAGACTACGATGGGTCAGCTCTTCAAAGGGAGGGCTGCCCTCTAGCAACTCTTCAAATAGTACAAAAGAGGGTATGTGACACTCTAGCTTTTCCTCCCATGACCTCAGGGTAGCATATATAAACTCTTCCTCTCCACTTTTTCTTTTTTGCTTCCCCTTTTCTTTTTTTTAATATGTTTTATTGATAGAAATTAAATTTTACAATCCATCTCATACATTTTCATGAGTTGTAATAAATATTTCACAAAGAAAGTGCATCAATTATACTTTCTGGTACAGATTTCAACTGAATTGAGCTTTACTGTGTAATTAAAATGTTCACAGTTTGCAACTTGTTCTGTAGGTGCCTTTTCACATGTGTATGGATTTATGAATCTCATAATGACTCTGTCCAGAATTTTCTGTGCTGCATTTGTGGGTTTCTCTTCTGTTCATGGTCACCATGTACTCTGAAAGAACAACACTGTTCAATAAAATGGTCTCTCTTTTTCCACCTTGGTGCCTATTACCGTTTTTGGGTAGGTTTGCCCAGAGTTGCCATTGTCCAAACCTGCTGCATCCATGTAGTTATGGGCAGTTTGGTCAAATAGTCTCAAGTCTTCCTCTTTTCCACTTTATCCTCTCAACAACAATACTGCTAGGTAAGCCAGGCTGGAAGACAGTGACTAGTCAAAAGTCACCAAATGAATCCCATGGATCAGTGAGAACCAGAACATGGATATTGTAAGTCCCAGTTCAACATTCTAACTACTATACCACCCTGCTTCCCCAATTCATTACAAAATTTATGAAGTTGCTTTATGTTGTCCTCTTGCAAAAGGCATGGGAACCTCTATTTTGCATGGAATAGGATGATGCTAGAGAAGGAAGGAAGGAACTTCAACATGAGATGACCAAGGACAGCAGCCAACTGTAGCGTTCACCCTTTGTTATGCAAAATAAGTCATGTATTGTGGAGAGGAAGAGCAGAGAGAGAGAGAGAGGTTAAAAGGCGGAGCCTGAGAGGAAGAGTGCGTCAGTCAGAGTTAGAGTCAGAGAGAGAAGGAACAGATATTGATAGAGCTAAGCTGGTTGGGATGAATAGATAGAGAAGGTGGTAATTAATTATATGGCAAGAAGAAAGTATGTATAGAGAGACCTGTGAATGATTTGCTTATGTACAATGAACATCTGAAGAACATCTGTGATCATTATTAACTTTGCTACACTTCAATAAATAAGTTCTGTTTGCATTTACCAGACAAGTGTTTGGACAAACGTCTTTTATCTTGTGGACAGAGGTAATCCACTGGTGGCAGTGAGGGAAACAAAGATTGGAACCTTTGTGAGGGCACAAAAAGTAGGTGCTTCATAGAGGTGAACGTCGCACCAACATAGAAAGGCTAAGAAGCAAGTTGCTAGGCCTTTTTCAGACACTCACATGGGCTGTTGACACATGACTTGCCCACCCACCAAACCAAGAGCACAGCTGCTCACTGAAAGGATTTGTTTGGGAAACATAATTAACACCTGACCAGGAATTTGCAGGAGAACTTCTACTGCTTTCTAAAGCCCCCATTTCCCAAGGGCCTAGGTAATCTGGGGACGCTCCAAGCTAGCTCTGTTGCTCTGAGAAATGAACTACTGCAAAAGACAATGAAGCTCATCCAAACATTTTATGGTGATGTGCTTTATTAAGAGGCAAGCTTGCCCCACACATTTGGAGAGGCCTGCAAGATGACCTGCCAGCAGCAACAGAATGGGAGCTAATAGGTGTATACTAGGAAGTAAGCAGGACCAGGTATTTATGAGAACAAATGCAGCAAGGCAGAAGTGCCCCTCAGTCACCTGCTTGGCTGCCATCTCCTCATCACGTCCATCTCCGATCACGACATATGTTACTTTCTTCCCAAACCGAGAGATGATCCTTTCAAAACAGCTCTCTTTGCCTGTCAAAGAATCACACACATCTTTATGGGGATGGCTGAAAGAATGTTATGGGCTCCAACAAGAATAGAGTTGCCTTCTGCCATCTCTGGGAACCTTCTCTGGATCCTCCTTCACCTCCTTAAAGTTCTCGCCTGGTGCTCCCAGGGCAGCTGGGACTTGTTGCTACTTTCATCTCTAGCAAAAGCCCCAAACAACAGCATATTGGAGGCACTGGGAGAAAATAAAAGTGGGGCAGGGGGAGCTTAGACCCATTTATCTGGTACTGCTGTAGGGTTGTTGCTGACACTGCTCTTTGCCTTGAGGAAAACTGATCAAAGTCCATTAAAGACAGAAATGATACTTTGTCCAGAACTTCCTCAAAACCTGGAAGCAACTCTGGACTTCAACTTCAGGTTCATTGGTTCTCCAGTGGAAGCGGCAACAGCAGCAGCATCCTACCCTATGGTCCTGCATGCAGACAAGAGACCAGATCCCAAAATTTCACCACTTTTTGACATAACTGTGGGGAGTTCTAAGGTGCTTTGGCAAGTAACACCACCTCTTTTCTTCTTCTTTTAGATATGTGAAAATGAGACCCATCAACAATGTAAAAAACACAAAAGCCCAAGAATCATTAGCACTACAAATCACCTCCTAGGTAACACAAAGAGATAGTGGTATGTTATGGGAGAAAACTTTCAAATATCCAACCAGATGGATGACCACTGGGAATGATGGGACTTGTAGGCCAAAAAAGTCTGGCGGATCACTTGTAGCAGATAATTGATTTATGGGAACTGAAAATACCAATCAGATTTTAGACACAGCACCCATGGCAGCTCATAGGAATACATATAAATCAGGCTTATCCACAGACCACTGAGACTGAAAGAACATATGGGTAATTAAGGTTGTGCTTATGAAACACAGCGATTGCACCTCTAAGGAGTCATGTGATGGGTGAAGGAAGTAGAATATATCTCTAGAAAATATTGTTGAGATTGGCTCCACTTTGAAGGCTCCATAAAAGCATAAGAACTATGATGCACCAGGTAAAACACCCGTCTAGCCTAGCATTCTGTTTCAATGCTGCCTATGGGCAATGCTGCCTATGGGCAAAGCTTGAGGAAGTTACTTTTTTGGACTGCAGACCCCACAATCCCTCAACCACCATGATTTTGGGAGCTGTAGTCCAAAAAGTTTTTTTCCCTAATTCTTTGCCTACAGGATGTCCAGAAGCAGGTCTTGAATGCATCACCTTTTGACTCATGTTCCGCAGCAACTGGTATTCGGGGGGCATATTATCTCTGGTACTAGGAATCCCCTCTCTCTCCCCATGCAGTGTGCACAGAAGGGCCAACTCCTCTAACATAGGTTGTATCAAGAACCATGAAAAGGACAAAGTGTGGTATCAGCACCTACCTATTTTTGTTGCACTATAAATATTTTCAATTGGGAACACGTCGCCCAGCCCATACAGGAGGACCTTGGCCAGAGCTGGCACCAGCTGAGTGGTTGTTATGAGAACATTCACACAATTCTTTCTAGAGGGCAAACAAGAGACATCTGTCAGGGAAACTAGTATGAACCCGGAAGGTTAAAGAAAACATGGAATATGATAAAATCCTTCAAAATTCAGCAAGGGAGGGAACAGCACTTCAGGGAGCTCCACTAGGATCCTCTTCATTTTATTCCTTATGTTATCTGCCCCTCTCCGCCATATTTTAAAGTGACATCCTTAAATAGAACTTTTGGCCTGCATCTTCCAGAATTCCTCACCAGGATGGAGCTCTGGGAGTTCTAGGTGTTTACTCTGGGTGTTTACCATAATAACGTCAATAACAACAATAGAAACAACATGAGCTGTCTCACTTAGCAATGCTGCTGTTCCCTTTCTCCCTGCCTCCTATCTTGCCATTCTTCTATTTCCTCCCACCTAACCTTTTGCCGCCAGTATGGCTGAATTGGCACAATAATGCCCGGACAAGAGGTAACTTGAACTATAGGCTGCAGAATGGGAGGTAGCAATTTAACATGGGGCTGCTGTTTCTGGTGGTTCTGTGCCAAGCTAGAGCCAATGTGGTTGGGGAGGATGGGGTAAAACATATCAGAATGGCATCAGGTTTGGGGAAACTTATTCTGGCCAACAATGGCCTGAGATTCTGATTATTTTAAAGCTGTGGTGTAAAATGGTACAGTGGTGCCTCGCTTAGCGATCGCTCCCTTGAGCGACGAAATCGCTTAGCGATGCTGTTTTTGCGATCGCAAAAGTGATCGCTTTGCGATGTTTCCTATGGGGAAAATTCGCTTTGCGATGATCGCGGGGAAGCGATCATCGCAAAGCCCCCATTTTCGGCCAGCTGATCTGCAGTTCCAAAATGGCCACCGGGGAAAAAATGGCCGCCCGCTGTTTTGCCTCGCTTTAGAGGCACCGAAAATGGCCGCCACAATGGAGGATTTTCGCTTAAGGTTAGTTTGGAAGCCCATAGGAACACATTAAACGTGTCTTAAAGCGTTTCTATGGGCTTTTTAAAATCGCTTAGCGATGTTATCGCTTAGCAGCGATTTTTGCTGCACGGATTAACATCGCTAAGCGAGGCACCACTGTACTTACAGAATCTATCCAATAATGTGTTGCAGCTTTTAAGTACAGTATTAAATGAATTTCATTAATTACACAACCACATGGTCAGAATATTACAAAAACTCCTTGTGCAGTTTTCCTTAACTTATGTGGTACACAACAGAATTCTAACCAATATATCTTTTTAAAAGTTTATATCCCATCCTATCTCAATTTGAGCTGGCTGGATATCTCAGTAGTTTAGGTATCCGGCTGCAGAACCAAAGGTTGGGAGTTCAATTCCCCACTGTGCCGTCTATCAGTAGAGCCAGCCTGTGTAGCCTTGGGAAAGCTGCATAGTCTAAGTATGCTCCCAGAGGAAGGAATGGTAAACTACTTCTGAGTGTTCTCTACCTGAAAAACCCTGAAAAGGCTCACCGTAAGTCAGAATGGACTTGATGGCACGTTTTTTATCATTATTATTATTATTATTATTATTATTATTATTA